GCCTTGAGCTCACTTTGTAGCCCAGGCTGGCTTCGAACTGGCAAATATCCTCCTGCCTCAGCCTCCCGAGTGCTAGGATTACAGGCCTGTGCCACCACACCAAGCAACAATTCTTATTTTGAGATAAGGTCTCATTAAATTGCCCATTTGGTCTGGAACTTGCAATCCTCCTGCCTCAGCCTCCTGAGTAGCTGTGATTTCAGGGATATGCCACCATGCCCAGCTATTGTTTGTAAGATGTTTAATAGCTGTTTTAAGGTTCTTGGCACTTTTTTTTTTTTTAAAGACTCTTGCTCTGTAATTCAGGCTGTCTCAAACTCACAGCAATCCTCCTGCCTCAGCCTCCTGAGTGCTGGGATTACAGGTGTGCGCCACTATGCTGGGCTGTTTTAAGATTTTTTTTTTTTTTGGTACCCTAAATCAAACACAGGACCTTGTGCTTGCCAAGGAGGCGCTTGTGCCACTGAGCTATATCCCTGGCCCTGTTTTAAGATTCTTATATACTAATCTATCATCTCTGTGATCTTTCTGTGTTTTTAATATTTCTCCTGGTTATGGACCATATTTTCTGGCTTCTTGGCTTGGTAATTTTTTTCTTCTTTTTGTCTTTTTGAGACAGGGTCTCACTATGCAGCTCAGGCTGGCCTTGAGCTCACTTTGTAGCCCAGGCTGGCCTTGAACTTGCAGTGATTCTCTTGCCTCAGCCTCCCGAGTGCTGGGGTTACAGGCTTGCGCCACCATGCCTGGTTTGGCTTGGTAATTTTTGTAGGGTTTTGGACTTAATTATGTTCCTTGTAAGTGGTGCTGGGTTTGGGTTAGATGACTTAGTTTAGTTCTTTCAGGCTTGCTGGGGTGGATCCAGAATGACCAGTCCAAAGGTAATTTGGTGGCAGTATATAGCAGATGCCCTGTCACTTCTGCACTCGGCTCCCTCTCCAGTCTGCGGGGTGGGAAAGCGGCTCCCAGCCTAGGAAGGTGGGTGGTTTTCCTGCGGGGAGGACGTCCTGCGTGAGCATCCACCCTGCAGGTGGGTTCAGACCTGGCTGCGAGTCCCCGCGGGCTCGGGGAAGCCCCAGGCTTCTCTGTCCGCCCCTGGGCTCCTGCAGCCCTGCACTGCGTATCTGTTGTCCGAATCCAAGGGCAGCTGCTTCCTAGGACTTGCGGGGTTTTCTGGTTGCTCACTCGCTGTGCACCGTGCACAGGCTCTTCTTACAGCAGTTCGCCCTTCCCGGGCAGAAACAGAAATGGGCTTACCAGCTGTCGGTAGGTGTGTAACCAGCCCCACACGGTGACCCCGTTTGAGCCAGTGACACAGGCCTCCCATCCCGGCTGCCTGGGGCCTGGGGAGAAGGTTACAGCTCGAGGATGGCCTGGAGAATTTAGTGAGACTGTCTCACGATTTAAAAAACTAAAAGGGCTGGGGATGTAGCAAAGTGGTAAGACAAGCAGGTTAAATCCCTTCTGCTGCTCACAACTGGGCATGTGCGAGCTTCTGCAGCCCCAGGTATGGGAGACTGAGGCAGGAGGCTCACTGGAGCCGAGGAGTTCAAGGTTGTGGTGATTCTCCTGGCTGGGACCCCGACACCCGCTGTGGAGCCAGCTGCTTTGCCGCTGTGTGTTATGGTCATGTGGTATAGGGGATGAACCCAGGGTTTCCCCGCTCAGCCTCACGACCTCGCGCTTGCCAGGCAGGCGCTGTGCCGCCGAGCTAAATCCCCAGCCCTGTTGCTACCTTTTAGACGTATGTAATGATCATAGTATCGTAGGGCATTTGTATGGTACATGATACATTTTGCTCCTTTTTCCATCCCTTGCCCTCCCTCCAGCCCACTCTTCTTCCTGGGCTCTTCCTCTCCCCTCTAGCGGGCCAGTCCCTTGGATTTTTCACTTCCTTTGAAGCCACGGTCCTTCGCAGTTTCATAGCCAAAGCCAACCCTGGGTTCAGTAGTCTGCCGTCTACCCGGGCTCGGGGGTATGCGCCTCTGCTGTCTTCCTCATCCCTTAATGAAGGACTCAGTTTGCCAGAAAAGAAACACTGTATACCACAGACAACAAACCCACCTTCTAGAACTTGCTGTCAGGGGCTGGGGATTTAGCTCAGCGGCACAGCGCCTGCCTGGCAAGCGTGAGGTCGTGAGTTTGATTCCCTGTACCAGGAAAAAAAAAAAAAAAAAATAGAACTTGCTGTCAAGGGCCAGACCCTCAGAGTCTGTCCAGGTGAAGTTCTGGCCAAGTCTGGAGTTTTCTGTGCACGTGGCCCTCAGAGCTCCGGGCTTAGGAGCAACCGGGCATGGTGAGAGCAGACGGTGTCGGCGGCCCCCTTCGGGACTTTCGAATTTGTGGTAAATTTTTCATACCAGAGCATGACTTTCTCTAATGCTCAGACTTAGTGTCACTCAGCAGGGCTTCCAGAGATGGTTCCAGAGATCAGGGATTGGCCCAGACTCCGCCCCAGCTGCCGCCTCTTTCTCGGTCATCCGCTGCTTTCTCCCAAGGTTTCTGTGTGCAGAGCTGCTGGGCCTGCTGCTGGCTCTCTGGAGCACTGACAGCAAATACTGGCACCAAACCAGAGCACCCAGGGGCTGCCCCTGCCCGCTGCGATGCCCCTGCTCCGGGAGACCCGCCGCTCGGGCCAGGCGCCTCCTCCCCACCCCTCACCGGCCTGGAAAGGGAAATCACGGGGATGAGAGACTGAGCCGGGGGGGGGGGGGTAGCTCAGTGACGACAAGGAAAGACAGAAGCAGTGCCTGCCCCTGTGTGCGGCTGTGGGGGTGACCATGGGGGCAGAGTTGTTCTCCGGAAGTGCACGTGGGAGAGGGGGAAGCCCCAGGGACAAGAGGTACCTTACGCTCCTTTGGGAATGGGAGTCCTTTCTGAGGGCTCAGGGTTAGCCTCTGGGTCCTGCTTTCTCAGCCTCGGGAGGCTGTGGGTGGGAAAACAGGACGGGGAGCGGGTCCCACGCAGACTCTTCTGTTCTGAAGAGGAAGGGGCTGGATGCTTTAGTCCGAAGGAGGACAAGGCCAGGAGGAGGGCAGTTCAGCTAGACACGCCCCTTAATGCTGCTCCCTTAGGCCAGAGCCACAGGCCTGCGGAAGGGGAGAGTGGGGCAGGTGCCCAGAGTGGGAGCCTCAAACCCTGGCCTCGCCAGCGGACGCCCTGGCAGCTCCGGTTCTGAGCGGGGCATGATCCTGTCCCCCAGTCTGCTCCAGAGCCCTGACGGTCATCCAGCAAGGTGGCTCTGGAGAGGAGCCTAGTCTTTGGGCCTAGGGCACCTGATGCAGAGGTTTGAGCTGTTTTAGGCCCGGCTCGGGGAACCCCTCAGCTGAAGCCACAGCAGAACCTGTTACCGGGGATTGAGCAAGGCTGTGGCCGGCCAGGGCAGCTTCTCCTTTTCCAGCGCAGCACCTCCTCACCGGCTCCTGTCCACCCGGCCTCCAAGTGCCACGCTGGCCTGGGGCCGCGTCAGGTGGTAGCTCCCGCCCGATCCCACACTCCACGTAGCTACCCAGTAACAGCGCGTCCTTCCCAGCCAGGGTCAGGGTGGGCCCCTCTCTGCCTGCTGCTGGCGATAGACTAGCTCTGCTCCCCGCACCAGCAGATGGGCCAGGCTGTGCCGGAAGTGGGCAGCCGTGATCCCTGATCCTGACCGGGTCAGGATTTCCTAGGATCAGCGTGGCCAGTCATCTGCCATGCTCGCCATCCAGGGGCCGTATCAGGAGCTTGGCCTGCTGCATTTGGGCACAGCCTTAGCTCAGAGGCGCTCCGCCAGCAGAAGGGGATCAGGGCACTGAGGCTTTTGCTGCTGTCATGTCCCCTACCTTGTGGGGCTGAGCTGCCAGCCTGCGTAGGTGGCCTGGAGGTGAGAGCCCGGCAGGCCTGGGCACCTGTGTGCCAGCATGAGACACCCGGAAGGGTTGACAGCGAGCTTCTCTTCCTCCTCTGTGCTGGGAAGCCGTCTCTGCACGTGTATTTGGTGCAGCTCACAGAAGCTCCGGGGACTGGGCAGAGGTTCCTCTTGGTGGGGCTCTGGGCCATGTGCTCCCCGGTTCAGTCCAGAGGACAGGAGGGGCCGGGGCAGCCAGCTGAGACCACCCCCTGCCCTCGCCCCGGGACACCTCGATGGGGACGGCCTCCTTGAGTGACTTGATAGCCCAGGCGGATGGATGGGTCCCCAGCACCCTCCCGAGTAGATCGAAAGTACGAAAAGGGCAGCACCGCCCGTAACTCCTAAGGACAGAATCCTTACTTATACTAACGTTTACAGAACAAGAGGAAGACGCACTCTTGTGTGGGAAACAGGAAAAATAGAGGCAAGAAGAAAACAAGCGTGCAGAGCTGTGGGTGTCAAGGTGCTTGGTTTCAAGAGGAAAGTGGGCCAGATCCGGAGTCAGATCAGAAGGCTGCACTGCGCCTGCAGTCTTTCTCAGTGCTTTCCTTTCAGCTTCGCGTATCCAGCTGCCGTGGCTCCCGCAGGGCTGAAACGCAGGAGGCCGCTGGCCCCACCGCTTCCTCTTCCTCTCTCCCAGGGACACGGGTGGGGCCGGTGCCCTGGTACCGAGTGTCACTGCTTTCTTCTTGTGCGTGTCCCCCTTCTACTCTACTCCCACCGCACCCCGGCCCTTTTCTGTGAGTACCGAGTGTTGGTTGAAATCTCGGTGGACATGAGTGACGCGGGTTGGGAGAGACAGGGAGAGGAAGCGGGATGCGCCGTCCTCGGTGGTCTCCGATGTGCGAAGGAGGGCAGCACGTGGCCTGACCCTGGTGCTGCCTGGGAGCATGTTGCATTTGGAGCCGCACGAGTCCGCCTCTGGCCCGTAGAGCACGCCGTGTGTGCTGTGGAAGCGGAAGAAGCCAGGTCTTCCCTCGAGCAGGAGTGCAGAAACATCGGATGTTTTTGTTCAAAAGAAGTGTATTCCTTTAATGTTGGCTGTGGGAATAAACACATAGGCTTGGGTCTTATCTGCCTGTTTGTATCTGACCGAACTCTGCTTCCCCCGCAGTACCCTCTGGTGTACGGCCTGGTGCTCATTCCCTGTTGGAGCTTGCTGGTGTGCCTGAGCAGGATGTACATGGGCATGCACTCCCTGCTGGTAAGGAAACATCGCGTCCTTCGCGCGTGTTCTCTGACCGTGACAGAGAGGTTTTGCATGTTAGTCATTTGCAAGCTGATGTGAAACCTAAATGAGAAGATGCAGCTGTTGTAAGTCTTGCACCTTGGTTTTGCAGAAACACCAGCGTCGTGGCTGGGGAAGCAGTTAGGTCGTAATCGTGTAGCACAGACGCCCTGTCCAGCCGTCCCAGCGGCCAAGCACTGCGCTCAGCGTAGTGTGTGTCCCTCTGCTAACTCCAGTTTCACTTTTCTTTGGAATCTCCTCTGTGCCTCTGCTATCACTGAATCCACACCAACCGCTGTACAGAGGCCCAGGAAAGCTCCAGGCCTTAGCTAAGAGACAGTGAGGAGAAAGTGCGTGATCTGGAACTGCCCTGGTACCCTTCCCACCCCCTCCCACGGGTACTGTTTTGGGACTCTGACGAGGTGTTTGAGAGTGCACTGCAGTTCTAGAGCGGTGGCACAGGAGCCTGCCGCAGTGAGGTCTCGTCTCAGAGCAGCCCATGTGCTGGAGGGCTGGGGCTGGACGCAGCTCAGCGCAGAGGACTCGGCCGGCCCACACCGGCTTGGTGATGACTGACCACTTACAGCCCAGTTATTTAAATACAGGACAACCAGACATTGCATATGTTTTCATTAATTTTTATAAGATAATATAACAGGAAATATAAAAATTTAAAAAAACGACAATCTCATCAAATTTACTCAATACAAGAATCGACTGGTGGAAATAACACCTGCCTGGGTGATGCCCGGATGGTCCACAAACAGGTGACTCTAGGGGTATTGTTGAGTGGTTAAGTGTGACAATAATTGTAAAGTATTGGAACAATGTGTTTGGTACAGAAAGTATTATTATTTGGTGTTTTTAAAAGCAGGGTTTCATTATGCGGTTCAGGTTGGCCTTGAACTTACTCTGTAGCCTAGTCTGGCCTTGAGCTTGCAGAGATCCTCCTGTCTTGGCCTCCTGAGTGCTGGGATCACAAGCGTGTACCACATCAGGCTAGAAAGTATTATTGAAAAGGCTTTTAGGCCAGGTTCAAGAAAGTGTGTATCATCTGTTTTGCTTAGCATTCTTGTCAAGATGCAATTATATAGTCAATATGGTGTAAAGAATCACTTTAATTGTCTTAATTTAGCTAACCAAACATTTATTCCCTGTTTACTATATGCCGTGTACTGAGGATATACATATAATTAAGATGAGGTTTTGCTTTTGAGGAGTCACTGTAATATAAATATGTGATGAAGCAATGTTGCCCCGGGAATGCACATTAGATTAGCTGCGGAGATTTTGAACAATCCTGACCCCTCCTCCCCACACACACTACTCTATTCCAGATCAGAATCTCTGAAGATTGTCGCAGGCATCAGTGTTTTTTGTAATGGTCTCCCAAGTGATTTAACCTGCAACAAGGTGGTGAACGTCCATTTTTCTGGAAGTAGATAAGCAAAGACTGGGAAGCCGCTGGGGAGCAGTGTGGAGGGTGTGTGCTGGGTGTTGGACCCGGGCCATCTCCTGCTGCACAGGCACTCTCCTGCGGCCCTATGCTTGCAACCCCAAGAAGTCCCTTACGGTGGGATAGAAGGCAGAAGTGTATGGAGTTGTAGGTGTCTGAGTGGAATCTCACAGAATGTATGACAGCTTACCTTAAATATAAGCGGGATAGCTAGTCCCAAGGCAAGAGGATGCTATAAATCCTCTGTCAGATCTGGTATTACATGATGCTCAGTGACCACTAGGAGCCAGAAATGAAAGACTTACACCTAAGAAGCTTAAGTGCATAAATGGCATTTAGTGCTGTAGTTGATACCTTCTTAAACGTGCTGTTAGCTAAGATACAGTATTTTCCTCTGCCTATTATAAAGAGACTATATAAAAAGAGCACCATAGGCCAGGCGTGGTGGCACACGCCTATAACCCCAGCAGTCAGAGGGCTGAGGCAGGATGGTCACTGTGAGTTTGAGGCCAGCCTGAACTGCATAGCAAGACCTTGTCTCAAAAGGACAAAAAAAAAAAAAAAAAAGAACAGCATAAACTTCAAAATAACTTTGTTTCATAGTATAGAATAAGGAGGTATCCACAAAACATTTGTTTTATGTAGAAACCAATTTTAAAAATATTCTTATTTACTTTGAGGGGCTGGCAGTTGAATCCATTTCTTATGTTTATAATACATGGTGAAGAGCAGAGTGAAGACATTCATTTATGAGTAATTTGGTAGATTCTCTCAAAATAGTTAAAGGGCAACTTCCTTTGACAGGGTGGCTTATATATTCATTCAATCGACAAATACTTTAGGAGTCACTCTGCTAACCTGTCAGAGAAAGTGTTTAGGCAGAAGCCTGTTTCCTCAGTGTTTATAGGTGACCTTCAGTCTCAGCTCGCAGCCTCTGTTGTTTCCACAGGGCTCTAACCTGGAGCTGAGTATCACGTAGAGCAGTGGTTTCCAGGGCTCTAACCTGGAGCTGAGTGTCATTTAGAGCAGTGGTTTCTAGCACTGTTGACTTCGCTTATCCGTGGCAGAGTTTTATTGGATTATAGCTCTGTGAAGATGACGGTGGGAGAATTTTGTTCGTCCGCATTTATCAGTGGAGGCCCGCGCTCTCTTGCATGATGGCTTGATCCAAACTCGCTCTGCAGAGCCTGTTTCTTTTCCTACCTTTAATAAAATCTTGCTGCCCTTTGCACTTGTCTTGACCAGTTCTTTGCTCAGGACGGAAAGAATCTAGAAACCACCTCCAGAAGGAGACTCCAGCACCTCAAAACGGGTAACAAGTTCAAGGCTAGTCTGAATTATGGAGTGAAATCTTGTCTGAAAAGTCCTAAATAAATAAGTAAATGCATAGTGGTGGGGATGTAGCTCAGTGAGAAGCTCCTGGATTCCAGTCCCAGCACAACGAACAAACAGATTTACTCCATTGAAAGAACTGGTCTTTAGTCAGCATTGTTTGTTTGTTTTGGATTTTTTGAGGCAGGGTCTCACTATGTAGCCCAGACTGGCCTTGAACTCACAGTGATCCTCCTGCCTCAGCCTCCTGAGTGGTGGGACGATAAATGTGTGCCACCATGCCAGGCTAGTCAGTGTTATTTTAGAATATGTACCGTTAGGCTGTGCGTGACTTAGGGTGCTTTTGTAATGGTAGGCACAACTATCCCAGTTCTTGACATGACAGTGTCTGGACCAGCCAGGAAGACAAATAATTCTAAAACAAATATCAGTTATTAAGCTCTTTCCTGTATGTAATACTTCAAAAAAATTGATGAAAATGAAAACTATAAAGGAGTTAAGGTTGTAATTTAAGAGTTAGAAAGAAGAGAACAAACTCTTCCTCCTCTCCCAAAAGTGAAAACGCTGGGTGTGTTAGCCACGCCTGCAGTCCCAGCTGGTGAGGCTGTTGAAACAGGAAGATTGCGCCAACCCAGGAGTTCAAGGCTAGTGTGGGCCACATCGTGCGACCTCATCTCAGAGCAAAACAAAATAGTAAAAGGGCGAAGAAGCAGAAAAAAAGTAGAAAATGGTAAGAAAAAATACATACGTACATACACAATAGAGAAACGCGTGCCATTCAAGGAGAGAAAGGCAAAATATAAGCAATATTATGAATTAAAATAAAAATAATAAAAGCCATACCAGGGGTTTAAAGAACACTGTAATAGAAAATTGTACTGCTACACATATACCAATAAGTTTTAAAGCTTAGATGACAAGAGCTCATTAGGAGTAAATATCTAATGACTAAAGAAAAACTGACTCAAGAAGAAATAGAAAATCTCAAGTCTGTGTAACTGCTAAAGATGTGGAACCTATGGCTGAAACCCACCCACAGGAGTGACTGGAAGGGGCCACAAGTCTCACTAAGTTGCTAAAATGCCTGGGCTGGGCTGAAACCTGTAGCCCTCCTGCCTCAGCCCCCAGAATGCAGGGGTTACTGTAGGTGTTGCTTGTTTTCCCCCAGTGCTGAGGATCAGACCCACGGCCTTACACACACCAAGCAGGTGCGGCCCCTGCGCCATGCCTAGCTCATCCCTCTCAAATCTTGCATTTTTTTCTAATGCATTGGCTAATACTGCCCAAATAATGTTGAACAGAAGCAGTGGTGAGATACCGTTTGTTTTGTTCCTGCTTTTTTTCAAAGACTGTTTTATTGCCCCACTAAAATATCACTCATTAGTCACCCTGGTCTTTGTTGTGCTTTTTTTGAGACAGTGTCTTGCTTATGTGGTTCAGACTGGCCTTGGACTTACTATGTAGCCCAGGCTGGCCTTGAACTCACAGTGATCCTCCTGGCCTGCCCTTCTGAGTGCTGGGTTTGTCTTAGATCTTATGTATCAGCCTGAGGGTTTCCCTTCTTGCTCCCCCACCACACTTCTTCCTCTTCTTTTTCCTTTTTGAGACAGTCTTGGTAAGCTGTGCAGGTTGGCCTCAAATTTGCAGTTATCTTCCTGCTTCAGCCTCCCGACTGCTGAGATTATAGGTGTGTTCCGCCGTGCTCTGCTCAGGCTTGTTCTTAATATTGCTGAATCAAGTCAGCTGAATTTGAGATGTGGCACTGAGCGGCGTCATTCCTTTCAAAGATGAACTTGTCTTGAGTTTAAGATAGTGAAGCAGCAACACCTGGCCTCATCCAGAACTTGCAGATACAGGTTTCACTCGAGAAATTTCAGATTTGCGTGAGACCTGCTCTCCCAAACAGTGGCACAGATGGGGAAGTGAACACACAGGCCCTGTCTTTTTATGGAAGCCCTGTGTCATGCCCTTGATCGTGTCTTGCATGTGCCCGGATAGCCTGGGCGGGGGCCGGTTCCTTTCTGTCCCCAGCACCGCCAGCCCCGCCAGCCCCGGCTGCTTGTCCTTGCCCAAGGAGCCTGAACTCACACGTACGGCACACACCTGTAATCCCAGAACTCTGGGAGCCCGAGGCAGGGGCTCCACAGGCTCCAGCCCAGCCCAGGCAGCTTGCAGTGACAGTGAACCT